TATATATATATATACACACACACACACACACACACACACACACACACACACACACACACACACACACACACACACACACACCTGTGAGCCCCCAACTTTGCCACTGGTTACTATTGCAACGCTCCACACACACATCTCTCTCACAAGAATTAGAGAGAGAAGCAGCTGTAAAGTGCAGATGACGTGTGCAGTGCTCCCCTCTGCAGTATACAGCGCTTGGCAGCCAGCACAATGCCACCAGACCACCAAGGAATATAATCTCCTCCCTCCCAGCCAGGTAACAAAAAAGGAAGGGGAAATACAACTTTAAATAAAAAGTTATTGAAATAAATGTAAAAACAAACAAAAAAATATATATTTTTTATTCCCACAGAATATACGCCCTATTTTACACAACATATTTACACACACTATATCCCTACACAAACTCACAATGCACCCACTACAAACACACACACACATTCTGTATTCACTATACAAACTGCATCCACTACGCAAACATACAGTTTGCATTCATTATACAAACACATTCTGAATCCATTATACACACTGCATCAACTACACTCACTTTACACACACACACACACACACACTATATACACACTCTCTGCATCCACTATAAACACACCGCATTCACATCCACACACACACTGCATCCTTGTGGGTGGACTCTGGATGGGCCCTGTGGGTGGACTTGGGGACCCAGTCTTTGTACTGTGTGAGAGGCCCCAAAATTTCTGATGGCAGCCCTGTCTACAGGTCTGGCATAATTTCCACAGATCTTCTCTTCATCTTAAATTTCCAGGACTTTGTTAGATTTTGCAAGTGAAAGTTTTGTTTATTTGTTTATTTATTTATTATTGCTATTTATAAAGCGCACACAGATTCCGCAGCGCTGTACAATTAGTTGAGAAACGTACAATATACACAAACAAATACAAGAGGTAAGAGAGCCCTGCCCGTAAGCGAATATCTAGCCATTGGAGCTCTTTTATACAAAGTGCTTAGCTAGATGGCCCGTGAGCTTACAATCTAAAGGATACCACAGTTGCAGCTGTGTTACTTGCCATTCTTCTGTTTTTACTGTTGCTGTATCCAGCACTTATTTACTGTAGCAGGCTTTAACTGGGCCCATAATCTGTTGGACATTCTAAAAAACTCTACAGAAATAAAGTTTGCACAGTCTCAAAATCATGCAGGTGCAGATTGCCATGCAGTTTTTACAAGAAGACGCCACAAGTAAACATCACCACCTACTGACGGAACAGTATATAACAAGATATATACACAAAAGTTGTTGCAACAGAATACATGAACACAGTATTCTAACAGGATCACATTGTTATTTTTTTATGAGTCCAATTTGTGATTTGTTTATTTTTTTTTGAATAGGACCATGCACATCAATTAAGGCAACATGTAAAATATGTTATAAAGTGGAGCCTTGGTACTTGTTACTAGATTCAATTGTATATATGACAAAATGATAGTATAATGAAAAAGCACTGGATTACATTGAGCCAAAATATTAACTCTCCCTCCTGAGACCTTTAACGAAGTTAACTAAATTGGCAAATTTAAAAACATATTAGCATCATCTAAGCTGCGTACACATAAGACACACAGGGTTATTCACTAAATAAAAAAAATGGCCAAATTCTGAACACATAGGCTATAAGCAGATTTACTAAAGCCAAATATGGTCAGGATTTGGGCGGTCTGACCGATTCTGTTCCGAAAATCAGTAATATCCACATGCGGACCAATATAAGCAAAGTATCCAACATGTATCAACGAGTGTATGGCAACTGAATATTAACTGAATACATCTAGCAGGATGTACATTTGCAAATTATCATTCACTGGAATTGATCGTTTGAAGAACTATTTGCTTGCTAGTCGACCTAGCAGCCAAGATGCAAATAAAAAAATCTCTTGGTGGTGCAAGGGATAATTATGAGGAGATGCTGATTGGCCAGGACTGTGGTTGGCCTGTGCAGGCTCTGCCCCTGATCTGCCTCCTTGACAGTCTCAGCCAATCTTATGCGAAAGCACTGTGATTGGCTCAGATAATCACTTTGGATGATGTCTGTAGAGCAGGCAAAGCAGGGACAGAGCCAGTAGCACCAGAGTTGAATAGAAGTAAGATTTTTGGGGGGCCCAGGGAAGCTAGATTTTGGTTTTAACACTATAGGGTCAGGAATACAGGTTTGTGTTCCTGACACTAAAGTGTTCCTTTAACTGCTGTATGGGCGGCATGCAGGAGGGAGCACCAGGTGCGAGGCCCCTTCGTGTAGTCTGTCAGAGTCTCCGATCTGCAGTTCTGCCGGAAGCACAGCTGCAGACCATGGAGTAGAGATCTTGTGACCTCATGCCATTCACAGCGTTGCTGTGAGTTATCACGGCAATGCTCTGACCGGAGAATGCAAGATCTCTACTCCATGGTCTGCAGCTCTGCTCCTGGCGGAGCTGCAGACCGGAGACTCTGACAGACTACATACCTAGCCCACTGGACCACCAGGAAGGAGGAGGAGAAGACTGGGCCACCAGGGAGGAGGAGGCAGCCACTGGACCACCAGGGTGAATAGATTACACACAAAAAAAGGTATCAGAAGGCTGGTCACTGAACAGCCTCCACACACACTACCACCCCCTCACTGTCACCAACCCCACACACTATCACCCCCACTGTCACCAACCCCACCACTGTAACCTTACCCACACACTACCACCACCCCACTGTCACCAACCCCACACACTACCACCCCCACCAGTCCCCACTGTCACCAATCCCACACACTGCCTCCCCCCACTGTCACCAACCCCACCACTATAACCTTACCCGCACACTACCACCACCCCCACTGTCACCAACCCCACACACTACACCCCCCACCAGCCCCCACTGTCACCTAACCCACACACTACCACCACCCTCACTGACACCTTACCCACACACTACCACCCCCATTGCCACCAACCACACACACTACCACCCCCTACTGTCACCTTACCAACACACTACCACCCCCCTACTGTCACCACACACTACCACCCCCCTACTGTCACCAACCCCACCACTGTCACCTTACCCGCACACTACCACCACCCTCACTGTCACCAATGCCACACACACTACCACCCCCACCATCCCCCCCCACTGTCACCTTACCCACACATTACAACTACCCCCCACTGTCACCTTACCCACACACTACACCCCCACTGTCGCCTTAACCACACTCTACAAAAACCCCACTGTCACCAACCCTACACACTACCACCCCCCCACTGTCACCTTACCCACACACTACCACCTCCTGTCACCTTACCCACATACTAACACCCTCTCACTGTCACCTTATCCACACACCCTCACTGTCACCTTACCCACACAATACCACCACCCTCACTGTCACCAACCCCACACACTACCACCCCCCACTGTCACCTTACCCACACACTACCACCCCACTGTCATCTTACCCACACACTACCACCACCCTACTGTCATTAACCCCACACACTACCATCCCCCACTGTCACAAACCCCACCACTGTCACCTTACCCGCACACTACCACCCCCCACTGTCACCAACCCCACACACTATCACCCCCACTGTTACTAACCCCACACACTACAACAACCCCCCCACTGTCACCTTATCCACACACTACACTCCCCCCATCACCTTACCCACACTCTATCAAAACCCCACTGTCACCAACCCTACACACTACCACCACCCCCACTGTCCCCTTACCCACACACTACCACCCCATGTCACCTTACCCACATACTAACACCCCCTCACTGTCACCTTACCCACACACTACCCCCTGTCAACTTACCAATACACTACCTCCCCCCACTGTCACCAATCCCACACACTACCAACCCCACCACTGTCATCTTACCCACACACTACCCCCCTTACCCACACAATACCACCACCCTCACTGTCACCAACCCCACACAGTACCACCCCCCACTGGGTGGTCCAGATGGATGGAGTAGTGGATGGTTGGTGGACGGCCACCCTGTTCCAACAAGGCTGCGATGTCAGCAAAGCGGTGGTGGAGTCATGTTTTGGGCCGGAATTATAGGAAGAGAGCTGGTCGTCCCCTTTAGGGTCCCCGAAGGTGTAAAGATGACCTCTGCAATGTATGTGGAGTTTCTGACTGACCACTTTCTTCCCTGGTACAGAAGGAAGAACTATGCTTTCCGTAATAAAATCATCTTCATGCATAACAATGCACCATCTCATACTGCATACCTCTGCATCAATGGCTGTTATGGGGATAAAAGGAGAGAAAGTCATGCTGTGGCCTCCATACTCCCCTGACCTCAATCCTATTGAGAACCTTTGGAGCATCCTCAAGCAAAAGATCTATGAGGGTGGGAGGCAGTTTACATCCAAACAGCAGCTCTGGGAGGCTATTCTGACATTCAAACAGAAACTGTCCAAAAACTCACAAGTTCAATGGATGCAAGACTTGTGAAGCTGCTATCATATATGAGGTCCTATGTTAAAATGTAACGTGACCTGTTAAAATGTTTCAAAAGTTAAAATGTTGTTATAAGTTTGATTGTAATAGCTTTTGATTTCAGTAAATATACTGCAAACACAACAAATTACAATTTTCAGTTCTTTACAGCCTATAAAGTGTTTTGAAACTTACTGTGCATAATAATTTGGAACAGTGCATTGCAAGTTTTTTTTATGTTTAAAAAAAATACTGTTATCATTAGGAGGTTTGTTCACGAAGATTTGAATTGTACTATTAATAGTTAATAACATGAGAATTATGCTGACTGTTATATACATCAATTATTTAGCTAAATTAGAAAAATATCATTTGCATAATAATTTGGAACAGGGTGTATGTCTATCTTCTGTCCGTACTACCACATATGATGCTCGCCTTCAAGACTTCTCGAGGGCTGCACCATTCCTGTGGAATTCACTTCCCTCCTCCGTTAGATGCTCACCTAGTCTCAACTCCTTCAAAAAAATAAAAATAAAAAACCCACTTCTTCATAAAAGCGTATCAATTAAACTAGCTCCTGACTGATTCCTCTCTTACAACTGTCATTACTCTAATATTATCCTTGCCTTTTGTGCCACTTTACCCCACTCCCTCTAGCATGTAAACTCACTGGGCAGGGCACTCAACCCCTCTGTTCCTGTATGTCCAACTTGTCTGGTTACAACTACATGTTTGTTCGTCAACCCACTGTAATGCACTGCGGAATTTGTTGGCGCTGTATAAATAATAATAAAAAAATAATAATAATAACATAGAAACACAGTCATACACAGATACAGACAAACACTGACACAGATACAGATAGACACAAAGATACAAACACACATAGATACAGAGACACATACAGATACACAGACACACAAACAGATACACATATACAAACACATATACCAACACACATACAGATACACAGACACACATGTATATGTGTGTGTTTGTATAGTGTATGTAGTGTGTTTTTGTATACTGAATGCAGTGTGTTTCTGAAGTGGATGCAGCGTGTGTGCTTGTATAGTGGATGCAGTGTGCTCATCATTTTGATGATGTCACAAAAGGGACAGAGTCAGCGCGGCACTGGAAATAAGGTGAGTTTTAAACTTTTATAGGGGGCTAATGTGGGGGGGGGGGGCAAGCTACCTAAATGGTGGGTTTAGCACTATAGGGTCAGGAATACATGTTTGTGTTCCTGACCCTATAGTGATCCTTTAACGATGGGTAGTTGGATACAGTTTATTTGATGGTAAATGTTTACAAATTATTGGGCTTCTTTTCTGTGTTTTCTGTGTTGCCCTTAGCTAGAAACGTCTGGACTGGTTTATGTTAGACATTGTTATTATTATTTGACTAGTTTCCGGAGGGCTTTTCATTAAAAAAAATTTTTTTTAAAATAGATAACTATTTCATATTAATAACTATAACATTAAATATTCATTGCTGACATATTGCTGACATATTGAATGGATTAAATGAGGGCTGATGTAAGAAATATTGGGGTCCCTTACACAGCTTAAGGACTGAGTTTTCCAGGGACCACCTTGAGTTCACCCATACGCACGTGGATGCAGTGTATGTGTGTGTGTAAGGGATATAGTGAGTGCATAGTAGATGCAATGTGTGGTGTGTGTGTAGTGGATGCAGTGTTTGTGTGCATAAAATCAATGCAGTGTGAGTAAGGTAGATTAGAGTTTGGGTGTATTGGATGCAGTGTGTATGTGTATAGTGAATGCAGTATTTGTGTGTGTTTGTGTGTGGGGTTTCCAGCATTTAGTTGGACTTTGGTTCTTGCAGATTTCCTCAAGTTTGTGCCACTACCTTTGTGAGTGTGCTTTCGTATTTTAATGTAGTTTTTATGTATAATAAATTTATAACTTTTATTTTTTTCTCACCCTTATTTTTCAAATGAGGTTTTCTGAATTAAAGATGCAAAATTGATAATTATATATGCATTACACTGATGTCTGGCACCCTCTAGTGTACTGATAGGAGAATCCTATAATTGCACTTTGTTTGTTTATGAGGTCTTTTGGGAGTGGGCCTTAGAGAGGCAGCATTTGCCTAGTTCTCACATTAGTTATTCAAACCGCTTGTTTTTAGACTTGGAGACACTCTGACCCTTGAAGACAGAAACACACACATACTCATACATGCAGACACACACACACTTACACTTACCAATGCATACACACATACATACATACATACATACACACACACACACACACTGATCCATGCAGACACACACACACACACACACTGGCTCACACACACACACACACACACACACTCACTGACCCATGCAAACACCTTTTATATATGCATTACACTGGTGCCTGGCACTCTCTAGTGTACTGATTGGAGATCCCTATATTTGCATTCTGTTTGTTTTGTTTTCATGAATTCTTTTTGGAGTGGCCATCGAGAGGCAGCATTCACGTTCTTACATTAGTTATCCTAATCACTTGTTTTTAGTCTTGGACACACACTGACCCATTCAGACACACACACTCTGACCCATGCAGTCTCATACACTGACCCATGCCGACACACGCACACACTTACATATGCAGACACACACTGACCCATGCAGACACACTCACTGACCCAGTCAGACATACTAACTCTAACCCATGCAGACACAGACACAGACACTCATAGTAACCAATGCAGACACATACACTCACTGACCCACGGAATGTGGGTTTAGCTGTGTCCTCCATATTGCTTTTTTTTATACTCACTGACCCATGCAGACACACACTCTGACCAATACAGACACATACTAACCCATGCAGATACAAACATTAACTTTGGTTGGCACAGGTGGCCACCCCCCCCCCCCAGACTGGGCAAGGCAGGCTGCTGCTGGCCTGGCAGTTCCCTTGCTGGGAAGGCTGGTGGCTGGTACTTCTTCCTAGCTGGAATAGAGGGTGAGAAGGGCAGGGTAGTATAGACTAGGGCAGGGGACTGGCGGAGCGGACTACTCACTTGCTGCCTAATATATCCCACCCCTTGACATGTGCCATTGTAACTATATAATCAATGTTTTTCCACTATATATATTTATATATATACACACATATATACATATTTTATTTTTATTTTTTATATTAGTGTGGCGGAACCAGCCTCGCCACTGGGCATTGGAGAAGACTGATTGCCGGCCTCCTGCCCTGTGACTATGGCCCCATGTTGAAAGGATGGATTTTCCCCTGCAAAGACCCAAAAGCTGGGTCTTTCGGTACTTTCCCTATGTGAGCAGTGTTACCCAGATAGCTATGCCATGGAGCCCATTTGTATAATGAAAGACTATGGGAAAGACTTTGGCTCCATGGCAATTGAACTGTATGTGTATGCTCTGAGCGCCATTCAGTAATAATGTGCGATCAGATCTGAGCTATCTGGGGATATGTTGAATGTACCTGTTTTGTGCAATGGCTGCACAGTTATATGTTTTTATGTGTTTTATTGTCTTTTGCTGGCTAATGGAGTTTTGCCTCTGTCCTGGAGATAATTGGATTACTTCCCCAATTATCTCCAGGATAGAAGACTCTGTGGAACTGGTTTTGGGCAGAAAAGCCATGCTGCATTTGGTCAAATAGGACTTTTCCTTAACTTTTGGACCACTGGACCAATATGTATGATTTTGACATATGTTTGCATTTGGAGTATGCTGATTCTGAAAATGTAATTTATGTGAGTGTGATGCATACTTTTCAAGTTATGAATAATGTGGAAAAACTGTATTTCTCTGGCTGTGATAATTAGATTAACCATTGTGTAAGGTAATTGTATCACAGCCAGAGTGGAGGATTTTGTGTGGGAGTGTCTTTCTGTAATGTACGTGTGTTATTGGTTGTTATGTAAAACCCTGTGGGCAGTACTAAGTTTGTGGATTGGGAATAAAAGAGGCTCTATGTGCCAGTCCAGTCAGTTCCTGCTTAACCCTCAAAGTGAAGTCTTGTCTTATTATTGGGGGAGGATTTATTGTATGCTGTTCCAGTTTGACTGCTAGGAGTCTAAACCCATCCGTATGGTTTTTGCCTATTCAGCTGTTTATAGCATTCATATGCTTGAGAGAAGGTATACGCTTCTTCGGTTCGGTGATTGTGGTGTTGGCCAGAGTGCTTGGAGTCCTCAGGAAATGCTAGAAGCATCCTTTAACGGAGGTACCCAGTCGGGGTGCCAGGTGATCCGTTACAATTCGTTTTTTAAAATTTTTACTAGAGTGTCCCTTTAAATTGATCAGTGGTAAAATATTGCTATTGGGGGGGTCGTGACCTGGACTTTGAACATGGTGGCTGCCTGAATCGTAGGTTCCACACCACCCAGCTAAAATAAGCATATTGCAGCCTATATTCTACACACAAATGGGAAGAACAAAGAAGCTAGACTCCTCAAAGACTCCCAAGACCAGAATGCCAGGCTTACACACAGGCCCTATGGATGAGCTCCTCAGAACACCCACCGGGCCCTCACAGGAGGCCCTCGTGCCCAATATGGCACCAACATCCCTGGCCTCCACTTACTCTCATGGGGAACATGTGACTCTGGCTGACATCAGGGTAGAACTGAGGCGCATGACTGCCGTAATGGTCACCAAAGATGACCTTTACCAAGCATCTAATAACCTGCATACCGCGCTGAAATCTGAGGTAGGGGGCCTGAAGGCAGACTTTGCGGTACACAAAACACCTATAGCTTCTGTGGAGCAACGCAAGGATGCAATGAAGAAGCAGACCAAGGCCTCAGATATTGCCATTCAAAAGCAAGGAGATCTGCTACTAGCCATGCGGCGGCAACTCGAGGATCTAGACAACAGAAGCCATCGCAACAACATTAGAATCCGAGGGATTCCAGAGGCCGATGGAACAGGAGAAAATGTTGCGGAAACCCTCACCCAGCTCTTCCGGATCATCCTCCGTGAAGATGCTCTGGATCACTATAGATTTGACAGGGCACACAGAGCCCTCAGACCGTGCAATGCTGACGGAGTCCCAAGGGGCATAATCTGCTGCATTCACTCTTACCCACTCAAGGACCAAATCATGCAGAGAGCCCGCACTCGCTCACATTGGACCTACAGGGGCTCTGAGGTCGCCTTATACAACAACCTGTCACCGATGACCCTGGATGCCAGACGGACACTGCGGCCGGTAACCACCACACTATGGGAAAGGAACATTCCCTACAGTATAAATGTCCGACACCAAACCCCCCCCGAACACTCTGGTATGGATACCCCACTAGAAGCACAGTTGGGAGGGTGGTCATGGGGGGAGGATCCAGATGCTTGCTCTCCACAAGGGGGAACTCAGACTGCTCCAAGACCCTAACACATGGGCACTATACTGATGATCTGGGCTCCAGGCATGTATGGGGGGGATCTGCCAGCCGACCAGATCACCTGCTTTGCGGCCTTCCTCTCCCCCATGCTAAAAAGTCTATTTGGGCTTATTGGATTTTAAAACACTTTGTCTGCCCCTTTAAATCCATGGGAAAATGTGCCTCTTCCCTTCCCCCTTTTTCCTGTCCTATTGTTCTCCAGCAGGGCGTTGTCCCAGAGACACTGCCAGACCAGTTGAAACTGGCTGCTTTGTCCCTCCTTAATCTCTCATCAGCTCTTGCTATTGTTTAATGTCATGGCGATCCAACTGTATTTGTCTGAGAAGCGCTCAGATCCAAGCTATCTGGGGATATGTTGGACATATAGGTTAAACATTGTATTATATGAGTTATGTATTTTTAAGTGTTTTTTGTAACAGTTTTTGACTTAGAGATATTTTCTGTACCTGGAGATAATTAAGTTACCATAGCCACTTAAACCAATTATCTCCAGGATAGAGGAAAAGATAGACCGGCTGCACAGCCTAAATTTGTGGAACTGTTTTGGGCATGAAAGCCATGCTTGCGGTCGGTCAAATGTGACTTCCATAAAACGTTTGAACCCCTGCACTGATCTGGGTGATTTTTGGAAATGTTTTTCACCCAGATCAGGGCTATCCAGAGATATAATTTGGGGATATGTGGTGTTTTAGGGTGTTTTCTGTGTTTTGTGAAAAATGTGTGTTTTCGGCCTGTGGGTAATTGAGTTAGTCTATTGTGTTTGTTAATTGTATCACAGGCAGAGGGGAGGGTTTGTGTACATTATCTGGGAGTGTCTAACTGTACAAGTCTGTCCTGATTGGCTTTGTAACTTTGTATCCTGTGTTCCACAAGGTCAACGTGGGTGGTAACTTTGTGGGAAAATCATGTATAAAAGAGACAATAAATCCTCAGACTGCTGAGTTCCTGTTTTACCCTCAACATAGAGCCTCGTCTCATGTGTGTGGGAAAAGGTTGCATCTACACTGGGGATTGCTATACGCTGTATACTCCCCAGGCTATAATCACTAAGCTCTTTTAAGAGCTTGTTCCTGCTTTGCTCTCTGAAGGAAGAGAGGTTCACCCACTGGAGTCTGGAGCCTTGTCGTAGGTCCAGGGTGGGTTAAAACCCCTTCAGCACTTACCTTAATCCAGTGCCGGGCTCCCTTGGTGCTGGTGACCTCTCCTCCCCTGCTGACGTCAGCTCCCGAGTGGAGCGGAATGTGCAAGAGCCGCGCATGCATTCTAGCAGTCCATAGGAAAGCATTTATCAATGCTTTCCTATTGACGTTCTGCACGCTCAGGATGACAGCCACTAGAGGTTGGATTAACCCTGCTATGTAAACATAGCATTTTCTCTGAAACTGCTATGTTTACATGTGAAGGGCTAAAACCTGAGGGATCTGGCACCCAGACCACTTCATTGAGCTGAAGTGGTCTGGGTGACTATAGTATCCCTTTAATTTAACATCCACTACTGAGCCACCTCAGAGGAGATGGGCACGCACCCCAAACCTATCTGTGTTTACAATTGTTACAGCGGTGAGCGAGCATGGTCCGGACCAGGGTACCCCTGGGCCCGGTGCTGCGCCAGCTGCATCTGCGGTCACACAGATCCCCTCGCCATCACGAGGTTATTGTTCTCATCGAAGTTGGTCACTGACCCATAGGTGCTGGTTGCTGACCCATAGAAGCTACTGCCTAAGCTGCAGGGGGTGGTCATTGAGGCAGCCACGTGGTCTGACCACGGATCAGTAATAATGGAAATGGAATCACTGCTCACAAGACCCAGAATAATGGACTTGAGACTGAACAACTCCCTATTGATGGAAATAGAGATCAGGGAACAGATCACACAGGTCTTGGAGTCCTACTTCTTTAACAATAAACCGGGAGAGAGCTCGGACAACACTATATGGGAGGCCTACAAGAGCGTCATGAGAGGCCACATTATCCAACGAGCGACAAAGAAAAAAAGGGAAGCCCAGCGACAGATGAAAGACCTCCTCAACAAAATCGGGGTCATCAAGGTGCGCCACAAAAGAACATTATCAGAGGAGGTATACATGGAAGTATAAGGACTCAGGAGCCAGCTACGTGTGCTGCTCGTCAGGAAACATTACCGGCAATTGCAAAGATCAAAGGCCTTCTATTACACTCATGCGAACAAGGGAGGCAAACTCCTGGCTTACATGCTCAGGGGGCAACAGATCCACGCACAGGTACACAAGCTGCAACTCAAAGGAGAATGGACGACACAACACCCTGAAATAATAGCGAACAAATTCTGCACTTTTTATGCAAACTTATACAACCTGCAACAACAGAACTCCACTGACTCACCACACACCATGACAGCGGTAATTCAACCTCTCAAAATACCTCACCAAAAATGTGACCCAAGACGAGGCAGAACTCATGGAAGCACCTCTCACATTTACCAATGGGCAAAGATGCTCATCTTACACCACAAATCCTCAGTAAGTTCCCGGTACCAAGAAGTTAATTACAAACTCCTGTCACAATGGTACAAAACTCCGCAGGATCTTCCCGAGTGTCTCGGAAACATGCTGGGCGACAAAGATGAAGGGACCTTGAGACACATATGGTGGGACTGCCCTGACTTCAAGCCATTCTGGGACTTGATCAACACCAAAATCGCGGAGATCTTGGGAGACACACCTCCCCTGACGATGGAACAATTTCTGTTACATTCCACTCCGAGACCAATCTCACACTACAAAAAAATCCATCAAGCGACACTTGATCGATCCAGCTAAGGTGCTCATACCCGCTCTGTGGAAACAATCACAGACCCTGACACTAGCACAATGGTACGAACTGAGGAATTCTACTCCGCGGAGACTGTAAGGGCATCCTTGATGGGACGGAGCAATAGACATACCAGGATGTGGAGACCATGGATTAAGTTTATCACGGGGGAACGGGGAGATGTGGAGGGGAGAGACGGAGATCCCCGATACGCGGACTGACGATAACAACTCACCCCTCACCAAAATGGTACTCCATACATCATAACACCATGCTAATCTATATTACCACAACTACGGCAGACACAAGTGGGACACCATGCCCTAAGGGGGAACCACAGTGTTGCCTAAGCACATGACAAAATGAATTCACGCAACAATCAAACAGAGAAATAACACGACACACGGCTTAGATCTGTCACATCCTGTCCTATTCTGCGGAGATGTCTGGCCTTGGCTTCTGGTATCCAGTACTCTTTTTACAATTCTTGTTTAGTTTTTCTTGGATTTTCTGGTTTTCTATTCCATGTCTGGTTTTCTTTATGCTGGGTTTTCTGGGTTCATTCCTTTATTCCGTTCCTGGAATTCCCAGTCTCTTGGATTCTTTTAAATGTTTGTTTTATGTTGTCACACCCTTTCCTTTTCCATTTATCCTTTTGTTTCAGTTGGTTCCTGCAGGCAGTTGTTCCAAGTCCTCTGCCCATTTCTTGCAGGTAAGTGCTGGGTGTGTTTTATTATTGTTTATTTAGTCATGCATATCTAGGCAGATAGGTCCCACCTTAGTTGGAGTACTTTGCCGCAGTTGGTGGGCTGCATACATCTTGGCCATTTATGTATGTCTAAATCTCCAATGTTTTACATATATAGTACTTAGTTTTGTCTCCTCTTGTTTTGCCTTATATACCTTGTCTTGTTTTGTACTCCCAGTCCATGTTCATGTTCACTGCCCTGTTCATGTTTCCCTCATGTCTTGTGTACATGTTCTGGGTTTTGCTTTCTATCCTTTTCTGGTCCTGGGTTCTACTAATTTTGTCTTGTTTTCTTGTTTGGTGCCTGTTCTAGTCTTGCCTTGTTTCTGTACTGGATACATGTCTGCTGCAGAGCCTCCCTATACAGTTCCTGGGAGGTCTGCATATCATCAAGCTACTAGCTCTTGGAATCCGCAGTAGCTGCATCAGGGCCCTGGTATGTGGCCGCACAAACGCTGGTGCTGAACACCAGGGGGCATTTGGTTACCCTGCGCCAGGCCCTGATAGTCCATTTCCACACTGAGACTCCCATCATCATCATCAGGCACTCAGGGTCTCCATATCGCAACCCCTGACACGATCCAATGGAGATCCCTAACAATACAACCACTCTAACTGACAATAATTCACCCACGAATCACTCCTAGAGAACCCCGCCTGAATTTCTCACCACAACCACACGGAAGGAGCAGACCAACATGGGGAGAGGGGGAGGAGTGTTGATTCATAGACCTGAGACGATACCGTAATGGAGCGGCGGAGGGGAGGTGCCAGCACCCCACACAGTCCGATCACAACAGACTGCAGTGAACCACACAGCTTAACAAAACTCTGATGAGTAACAGATACCAAACTGGGCATACATAGACTACAACTCTTAACCGCCCCCACTGGCACAACACACAGCAAAACTATAAACTAAACAACCATAAGAATGCAGAAGCTCAATTGCGGGAGGGCAAGGATGACAGGGAGATGGAGGCAACTGCCTTTAACAGGACACATAAGGAAGATCACAAATACAGCACACCATGTAGGCACACTACAACCCCGGTACACAGGACCCCCCAGTTTGCATGCTGATGGTACCCAGTACCTCCAAAGCCATATCACCTACATGACGAGCAAAGGGGACTAGGTTACACGGAGACCAGGTAGCAACCTCTAGAGACCATGATGACTCGATATAAGAAAGAGATCTGCGAGTCCTAGCACTACACACAATATGCTAGACCTGCGGGTCTATAATTACTGTTCTTACCATTGTAGAAACACATACCGTGACTCATGGGAGACCTACGAATCTCCCAGTTAGGTAAGGCAGACCTCAGAGCCACACATGCCGTTCATACTCATTAAGTACATCTTTCTTGCATGTTTGAAGCCACTGATTGATCCTGTAAGGAGATGAGAGGAAATAGCTCTAAGCCAATGTAAATGGAAATAGATGGT